ATGTAAAATACATACATTTCTTGGTGATCCCCCCACCCCCCCCAAACGGCCCGAATTTTCTTTCAGATAAGTTCGTCAATGCCTTGCCAAGCCGCTCGAGGTGACGTTCCGGTTTTTATTTGCAGGACGATTTATTCGCGGCAGTGTCAACTTCAGCAGTTCAGCACAATCGATTGTTCTCTTCCAGGGTGCGTTCCCAAAATGCCGGATTCAGACTCGTCCTCAAACGAGTTGCAGTGTTTGCAGATAAAAATAAATTAGTAGTGTTACATTCTCCGTGTTCTACAATCACTTTACCAAACAGGTAGCAAAATTTATCGTCCCTTATTAACGAATACACTAAAGCACAGCATATGGCAGAATGCAGCTTAATAGCAATTCACTCTATACATTACTTTAGGTGCAAGTTTTGTCTGAGTGTTCTTCAGTAACAAGTATTACTGTCTTTAATAAAGACGTTTCCTACACCCGGCATAGTACTTACGAGTAACAACTGACTGCACGGCAAGAACAATCCTCAAACAGAAATGACGTCTTTCAACCTGTGCAATGAATTCTCAAGGGGAGCATACCATCTCCAAAAAGAAGAAGGCGCGATGATTTAGTGAGTGTGAACTGGTGGTGGACAACAATTCTCACAGTAGCAATGAGAGGATAGTCACTTTCTTGCTTTACGAAAGGACCAATGCAGAAGAACAATTTAAATAGATCAACAGAAGTGATGAGCGTGATAACCTAATATAAAATACGACATATTTTTTTGTGAAGGACGAAAGATTACGTCACTCCTGCCTAGCTCTCTACGTTAGCGTAACTACGAAAGAGAACTACACATATTTGTAAAAACTTACAAGAAATTATTTTCATTTATATATCGCTCTAGTCGTTTTAATTGTATTTAATAATGCTAAAATGTGATAAGTCATTATTTATTAATACTGTGTTTACTAATTAAATATTTGAAATAATTTTACTTTAATCTGCTGAAGGCAAAGTCATTCTGAAGAACTGCAAACAAGTTGTGAATTCATAACTAGGGTAGTTAGTGTCATAAAAGTGTAAGTTATTTGTAGTCCTGACTTGATGTAACAGTCCACTATTCTAGTCAGTGCCTAGTCTTACATTGTTTGTTATATATCAGTTAAGTTATTTGTCTAATAACAAAACTTATGCACTTCAATGCACACTCTCTTTTACTGGTGTACATCATTCTGCCCACTACTTGCGGCCATTCCATTCTATGTTAACTTCAGACTTAAATGTAAAAATAAACAATACATTTTCAACGTGAAACACCTGTTAAGTAATTTTGACTGTACAGCAATTAACTTTTCAAATACATGGGAATATTCAATTTAAATTTAAATCAGTTTTCAGACATGTAATTTTAATACTGGTAGTCGTAATGGAGTAGAGAAAACGGCCTTTTGTGTTGCTAAGCACACGCTTAGGCCCGGTTGTGGCAGAAACCGGGGCCTGCAGTCATGTAGTTGGTCATCACTGCAGAATGTTCGGCCTATAGTCGTGTAGTTGGTCATCACTGCAGAATATGGGGCCGGGAGTCGTGTAGTTCGCCATCAGTGTAGAATGTGGGACCGGGAGACATGTAGTTGGTCATCATCACAGAATATTGGGACTGGAGTTGGCCATCACTGTAGAATTTGGGGCCGAGGGTCCTGTAGTTGACCATCACTGCAGAATGTTGGGCCTGGAGTCCTGTAGTTGTCCATCACTGCAGAACGTGCGGCCGAGAGTCCTGTAGTTGGCCATCACTGCAGAATATTTGGCCTTGAGTCGTGTAGTTGGCCATCACTGATATAGCTCTGATACGCTCACGCCATTATATCGGAAGGATCAGCACTCAAGGAGGACGCAATAAAGCAAATTGAAACACCTGAAAACGGAAATCAACTTCCTTTCAGAATTGCTGAAGCCTTCAGTTCCAATTTTTCTGGTGCGTCCGCAAGGAATAGCTGTAAAAATACACCTATTAGATTCTATATTTCTGTTCTCATGTAACGTATCGAGAGCTACTGAACGCAACTGTATGAAATATCATACTGGGGACTTTCCCCACATTTGTGACCCATCCAGTTCTAGTTAAAGTGGATAACAATAATGAACAATTTCCATGGGCCTACACCTTTTCCCGCCCGCGTCTCGATCGCATCTTGCTAAGTATTTATCAGAGGGAAACCTGTTTCACACAAACGAAATAGAGAAAATGAAACATATTCCATGGTCAGAAAAGTTCCCACGAGTCTTAAGGGTCCTCAAGATATTGAGGTAACACTTTGATCGGTTGTTACGTTGTGCATATCTCTCCAAATTTCTATAATGATAACTGAAGATTTATTATTTATATACATAACGTATTTTCACATTGAAGCGGGGTAGCTCCGTCAGTGTAGTGTCTAGGCTAGAGGCTGGAAGATCGGGGTATCGTGTTTCGATTCCCGGGAAGATATGAGATCGCCTCTGGAGCCGACATGGCCTCCTATTGAGTGAGTATCAGGGTCTCTTTCCTCAGGAAAGAAGTTTCCGGATCATGAAGTTCGCACATTTTTCTAGTACTGAGGCTATGAATGCGCTGAACCACATCTCTACTGCCCCACACAGGCACATGACTTGGTCCTTAATTAAGAACAGAAAAAATGCCTTTATTTACACTTACATAAGTATGTTGCTTTCACATGGGGATCCTAAACTTTGCATATTTAAGATTAATGGCACTAGATAGACCGCATGCAGCTATGAAACTACACCTTTAAGTGCATTCTACGACAAAAAAAAAAAAGAATATATATAAAACATTTCACTTATGGAAGCTTCACATTAAATTAAGCCGTGAAACAATCTCTGTCTTTAAGTTCACAATGTAATTTAAAGCGGCTGTAACAATCAGTCCGTCGAAGAGATGTTTTGAAACCGGTGATGACAATAGAATTAAAATGTATTTTATCTAAAGCTATTAATTCTTTTCAATAAATCTATGTTTAAGTGAAGTAAGAAGGAAAAGAAAATTGTCATTGTGTTAAAGGTGTGAGGATAATAATGTATCTTCTACTATTGTTTCAAATTTAATATTTTCAGCATGTATATATGATACGTAGTAAAAGAAACAATAAAATCCACGTATATTTATGTTAGCACGTTTTGCCTTCCTCACTACATCCGAGTCGAGCAATTATGTTAATTCCTTTACGCATATTTTTTGAGATGCTAAGGGTCAGTTGTAACCGGTCTTTGATTCTGCTAGCTCCGGTAGAGCAATTCGACTCCTCTCAGGGCGTGTTGACTGGCCACGACTTGGGTGATTAGTGGGGCTCTAGGCGTTGGGAAGTCACCTCAACACCAATTAACTGTATGGAGTCTTTATTAAATCTGCACTAATTAAATGGAAACAGCACCGTAGTGGTACACTTCACAGATTCGTGGATGTAGGCTTACTTACTGTTCACTGAGACGCCCACGTTATAGTCACCACAGGGGGTGTTTACGGGGATCAGAACACGTGTACCCCCGGTGAAGGTAACTTTCAGAGTCCTCTCTGCCAAGCACCCTCTGAATGGTAATATTTGCCCTGTTTACCCAAAATTCGGGCAAAGGACCCCCCCCCCACTTCAGATGATGATTGGCTGGACCGGGCAGACTGGGAGGTTGCTTATCATTCTCCTCCAATTAGGAAAGCGAATATCCACTAATGTACAGTTTAGGGGTGAACTTTGCCACCTGCTGCGTGGCTGCCAAACTGAGATTT